CCCCCCCACCCCCAACCCAGGAGGCACCAGTCGCTGAGCCGGTGTGCAGGGGGACGGTCTCCCACACACTCAATGGTAGACCCAGAAGTGGGCCAGAAGTGCTTCTTGTCCATTTCTGGGTCCACCACTGAGCGCACTGGGACCCCCCCACCTTCGTGCTCCTGTGGGATGCTCCATCTGCCCCACCATCTCAGTGTTCACGAACTGCCTGGTACCTTGAGGTATGTAGAAAAAACATTTAAAGCTGTGTCTATGTCCAGATCATTGAATCTGTCCGAATCGATTTGGAGAGATTAAAGGGTCTTCGGATTGGGCTGAATTGGGCTGAATCTCCAGCAAACCAAATCAGCAACCAAAGCTTCACACAGCCCTGCTACTTTAGCCACTGAGGGAGCCCTGTTTGAAAATAAAATAGAGGTGATATGATACAGTTTCTTTTGAAGTGAAACTACTTATTTATGTGACTAACAAGAATATAGGCCAAAAGTATAATGCCATGACAATGCTGGAGCTGCAGATTGCAGAGGTGATCAGGATGGATGTCCCTTCTGATGAGAGGGGGTCTGCTGGCAGGGTGCCCCTTGGTGTGAGGATTCTAGCATTATAGAACTTGCTGTGAAATTGGTCCTGAGTAATCTAAATTTGACTTTCTGAGAAAGCTACAAAGACTTTGAATGGATTTTTGAAGGAAGAATACATTAAAAGAGGCTATTCTGGAACTCTTCCACTTTGTCTTCAGGCAGCAGTAAACTGTTGCTGTTGTTTTGATCAGCTACATAAAAATAATACTTTGAAATTCTGCTTCTCCAACTGCACATGGGAGCTTTTAACATCTGCCAGTGACCTAACAGAATGCCATGGTTTCACTGCCCTATTCTAGTGAGCTAACATGTAATTTTCTCTTTTTTCTATTTCTTTTAAACAAATCACTTATCCTCTCTCTCCTCTTTTTTTAATACGGTACTTCTATTAACGGCATAACAAACTAAATAGCCAGACAAAGGACAGGTCTACCAAAGTTACTGTGTAACTTACTTTTAATATTGAAAGTGAACTTCAGGTGCTTAATTCTTCAGCAGCAATAACTCGCAATGGACCAAAGATGCACAGAGTTTATGCTCCAGTGTCCCATGTTACTTCATTAGTGCCTAGTCACCATGGCAACCCGTGCATAGAGAAAAGATTTGTACCTGAGAAACAGATCCTTCCTTAATAATGTTGCAAGATTTTTTCAGAACTTTTGGAGCAATTGTTGTAGCCCTGATGGTCATGCAAGAGGCACGGATCTTTGGGGGTGGTCTCTTTGCCTAGACTAGCTGTGTAGTTGGGATAAAATTAGACAAGCTTTTGATACGTTCTTGATCCTTACATTTGAAAGTTTGTCTACTTTTATCTCAACCATGCAGTTGGTCCTGTAAAAGATAGCAGTGACAAAGATCCTTGCCTCTCACAAGATCTTTTTAGTATTTTATTGCAAAGTATGAAAAATGTAGGAGGCATGGTAAAATAGGACATTCTGCTCTCAGTAAGTTGGGGTACGGTTAGTTCATTTTGCCTCTTGTTTCTCCTCTACTGTCCACTTTAAGGGCACAGTTAGTCCAATGCCTTCAATCCTGACCTATTAAAGGATCTGTTATAAATTGGATGTATTAATAAAAATGAAGTGTCCTTTTGGCACTGACAGAAAGAGTGTACTTCTGCTGTCATCAGTGGTGAAATTTAAAAACAGAGTAATTAATTGATTAGAAAGGTGTTGGATATGTCTAATTTTATTCTTGAATTACAAAGGGCAGGACACATGCTCAGTAGTAACACAGATGTAGGTGATGGGTACCAGCAAAAGAATTGTTCGCCTTCCTATTATCTTAAAGGTTGGAAAACCTAGATCTAAATTGTCACAAAAGAATAATCTGCAATGATGATTAAAAATTAATCATCATTAATTGCTCCTGTAAAAAACTGTGCTCTTTTGTATCAATTTATTGTATTTAAGTATGGTTAGTTTTCATGATTATCAGGCACCTGATTATATTACAGAACTTTCATATAGATTTCATAGATAATAGACCTGGAAGGGACCTTGCAAGGTCATTGGGTCCAGCCCCCTGCCCAAGGGGCAGGAAGTCTGCTGGGGTCAAATGATCCCAGCAACATAAGCATCCAAATGTGCCTTTAAAGATGTCCAGAGTAGGCGCTTGTACCACCTCTGGGGGAGTCTGTTCCAGACTCTGGGAACTTGGACAGTAAAGACGTTTTTCCTTATGTCCGGTCTAAAATGATCTTCCCGAAATTTGTGACCATTAGACCTTGTCTTCTTTTGGGGTGACCTGGTGAACAGACATTCTCCCAGTTCCTGGTGCACACCCCTAATATATTTATAGACTGCCACCAAGTCTTCCCTGAGCCTTTGCTTTATATAAAACTAAGTTTCTAGCTCATACGGTTATAATTATTCTAAAAGTAAATACTATGCATTATTGTTTATGCGTTATCTTGTCAAAACTTTAGCTCTTCTTCCTTATTCCAGCAGCTTTTTCAGAGAAGTAGTTCTTCAATTTAGGTATACAGTTCCACAGATCTGTGTTATGCTCCAGATTCTACATTAGCTTAAGAATTCTAATTGTATTTTTCCTTTTTTATTAAATTGTTGATCTATCTTGTAGCTGCTATAGAACTTCTGGATTTTTGTAGTACTTAGTGTTGCTGTTATAGCACTGTTGCAATAAAATTATGTATTTTAACTCTAAACAAAAATCTAGGTAATTGGTGTTCTCGTCTATTTATGTCACAGTGGATGTTCAAGTTTAGATGAAGTATATTAACCAGGGCTGATTGAAAATTGTCAGTCATTCAACCATCTCTAACTTTGACTTTTTTAAAGTATTGGTGTTTTGAAAAAATGACAGAGTAGTTCGTTAAAGTAGTAGCCTTATTAAAAAGTAACTGTGGGCTTTGATGGTATAGCTAGCTTGACTTAAATTTGTTTTTATACATAGGTATCTGCCACCTTTGCAGCAAGTTTGGTAACTAGTCCTGCAATTGGAGCCTATCTTTCTGCCAACTATGGAGATAATCTGGTTGTACTAGTGGCCACAGTGGTGGCTGTTGTGGATATCTGTTTCATTCTGTTAGCTGTACCAGAATCTCTGCCTGAAAAAATGAGACCTGCTTCATGGGGAGCCCCTATATCATGGGAACAAGCAGATCCTTTTGCTGTAAGATTCATCTGTATAAATATTTTCAAAATGTTGACTTCTTTTTTTAACACTGAAAGGACTAAGTGTTTAATGTCAGTTTAATAAAATAATTCGTCCAAACCATTATTAACTTCTACCCTTTTGCCAAAGGTCAAATTGTAATGAAAAGGATGAGCACTCTGCGCATTCGTTATTTTGTGTATTGGAAACCTATACAATTTTGGGTGTAGAGGGGACAAACAGTTCTCCTCTGTGACCCACTTCTAACAACATGGAAGAGCAAGTGGTGGTTGAATTCTTTATACTGCAGTGTATTTTACTTCAGAAAATGAATTGACGTAACGTGTTTACATTAATTTTATGCTTCTTGATTTCATATGGAAGCTTATTTTATGTAGGTATTTATCCAACAAGTAGAATAAATTGTTTTTAGTGAAAATGCTCTCCTGGGAATTGCTTTAAAGAAACTGCTTTGTGAATGCTGAGAGATAAGCGATTATGCTTGAAAGACTGCGATAAGGACATCTGTTTTCCACAGTCAATTCATTAATACATGTAGTACCATATTATTGGAGGGGGGTGGGTGGAGGAAAATGAACCAGATGTGGAAGGCCGAACATCTGATTTCTGGGATGGGACATTAAAATTCCTCACCTAACAATAGTGAGACTGTTGGGCCTGAGCAGGGTCCCAGGGCTGTCCCCAGCCCAATCCTGAGGATTGAAGTAGGAGGTAGCTATTTCCCAGAACCCAGGACTGCCCAGTGTTTGATGGTCAGGTGATTGTTAGCAGATGATCAGCAGATTTATTATCATTGCCAGGGGCAGCCCCAGGCCTGGTTCAAGATCTAGGCCTGCCCTTGTTTCAATGCTGACAGTCAACCCATTTCAAGACATGGGCCTTGGACAGCCCTGGTTCCTGGAGCTGCCCTCAGGCTGATCCCCAGGGGTTGCACTGGGGTACTGTCCTGGGTTTCAGACCAGCTGGTTGATATTGACTGGGCAGCCCCTGACCTGGTTCAAAAGCTGAAGCTGTCCCAGGCCCGATGCCCACAACCAGCTACTTGTTGGCATCTGCCCAGAACATCCCTGAGTTTGGGACATAGGCCACACTTTAAATTAAGGTGCCATACAGTCCAGCCAGAAAGATGTTACACATTAAGTTCAGAACATCTTTATGGCTGGTTTGCCAAATTAGCCCATTTATGGTGTGATGAGTCTGTGGCATGTTGCTATTTAATACTTTCATCGTGCCATAAATGTCTTTTTAGGGTCCAAAATTTAGTATGAGTTCATGGGTGGATAAAGACCCCACACTTGCTTTTGACCATTTAAAAACTTTAATATTTTCATTTTTATCTATTACTTTCCTGCATGGTTTTGTCCCAAACTGTTCTGATGTTACACTGGTATGAGGACGAAAGTCCTTCTAGCTAAGCAGTTTATTTGAATGAAGTATAAAGTAGCAAATGTAACTGGTTGAAAACAAGTAAAAATGTTCAGATTTTTTGGATGTTTATAGCAAAAAAAAATCGTTTAATTGCAGATTTAGTTGGATAGTGTTCTGTTAACATGCCCATAGAATCAATTTATTCTGGGGAGTAGTTATGGAAAGTTTTTCATGGGATTACTGTCCTTATCCCTTGTTACGAGAAGCTTTCATTTTGACCTATCTCTTTCTCTTCTCTCCAATTTTTGATAGTCCCTGAAAAAAGTTGGGAAAGATTCTACAGTCCTCCTGATCTGTATCACAGTGTTTCTCTCCTACTTACCTGAGGCTGGCCAGTATTCTAGCTTCTTTCTGTATTTACGACAGGTAAATAATTTTTGATACTGAAAAATAAACTGTAAGTACATTTCACCCTGGATATTCTGAGACCTGTTGTTTTTAAATGTAGAATCAGAAAACTATAAAGCAAGTCCTAAAGTATAAAACCCCATCACACTGTATTGTAATCTTGTTAAACCTGGAACTGAACTGATTCAGAAACTATCTCCTGAGCACCAAGTGGTATCTCTAAAATTATGAGGAGCTGCTAATATATCTCTGCTGGGATTTCATGTTTCCAGAGATGCCTGTACTCTTAATTTAACTTTTTGTTGTAAATGTATTTAATTTAATTTTATTTGTTTTCTGTAGATTTATATGGCATAAGGTGTGTAGATAAGAAAACTGTTCAATTGATATAGCTCTTTATGTGTATGTAAATAATTCTGATCACTGCAGTAATTGCATTCCAGCATTTATAAATGCTGTCTTTTTAACTAACGGTTATCCTGACAACTGGAGCTGTCATTTGTAAAACAAATCTTCTATTACTTTTTTTTCAGATTATAGGTTTTGGCTCTGCTAGTATTGCAGCGTTCATAGCTGTGCTAGGAATTATGTCTATAATAGCTCAGGTAAGCTTTATTCTAGTAGCTTCTCCAACTTCTGGCAATTTCTAGTAAATCTTGGTACACACAAAAGAAAAAATGTAAAAGGAAGACATCTTGCATATAATCTTTTGTCAGAGGTATGATCATACCCAGTATAGTGTCATGGGTTCAGTTCAGTTCATTGCAGTACATCTAATTTTAAAATGTTTTTCTAAAGCAGTACAAGTGTACCAATCCAGTGAACACTAATGAACCATTTTGGACACTTTACAATTATGTATAGGCAAGTTCCTTTATACCATTTTTAAGCTTGAAAGAACTCTCTCTGAAAGCTGGTATCCTAGATGTGTACAAAGATGGATTAATCACACTTTAATGTGATTTGATTCCAATATTGCTACTTAAGTCTCTTTATCAATGAGGGAAGCAGATGAAGATGAGTAGCCGAATGATATGCATGGTGATTAAGTAAGTGTGGTGGTATGAGAGAACTACAGACACGATTCACTTTCCTCTTACTGTAGTGCTATTGCATTGGATTTATGTTTAACAGTAAACTCCCATATGACTACACTGGCAGGTACCATGTAGTGAGTAATGCCTGCTTTGTAGAGCGAGCGTCTTCAACAGGAGATATCAGAAGCAGTGGGCTCCCCTTTCTCTACTGCTGAACTTGTAGCTGTTTGGCATTCACTGTTCCCCATGGTTGTCAGTCCTGCTTTTCCTCTAGGTTTCTCTTACTTTCCTTAGTATTCCTTTCACTTTTAGCATAAGGTGAGGATGTGCTCACTAACGTCCTCAGTTGAAAGGTTGGTAAACAAAAGGCAGTAATGAGAAAATAAATGAAGGACTGGAAGAAAGGAGGGGGAAATGAATAAAGAGATTTGATAAAAGTAGACTCGAAGAGACAAGTCGAGTGCTCTGAGTTTTAAATGTAAGTTTGGGTGATTGTGTTCTGTACCAAACAAAATAGCATTGAGCAAAGCAAGTTGTTTGTTTGGGTTTTTTTTTCTCTTATAGCCAATATTTGTAGTTTTTTAGATGGCTTTGAGCACTGTCTATGTTCAAATTTCCTGGGATGGTTAACCAACTCATTATGCTAAACCTGGCCTCCTATTTAACATGGAAAAAGTGAAGAGGGAAAACCCTTTGGGTGCAGGATTCCTGTTTCCTGAAACGTTGACTCTTCTATTTAATACTTTTTTCAACTTTTTAATACAGTTTTTTTTATTAAAGAGATGGGGAAGGTGTATACTGTGAAGTGCCTACTAGCATGAATCAAGAGCTTTTTAATTTTAGCAGTACCTGTAAATCACGTTGGGATCAAACTGAAGGTCTAGGTTTAGACAAAATATAAAAATATAGTGACAGTTTGATTGATGGCATTTCTTCAGTAGTAGTGAATGCTGCTTGGATTGTCTCCTACAGAACTGGATATTGCTATAACAATCATACTTGAGGTTTGTTTGTATTTTTTACAGACTGTATTTCTCAGTATCCTGATGAGGTCGATAGGGAACAAGAATACAGTCCTCCTTGGTCTTGGCTTTCAGATACTCCAACTGGTTTGGTATGGTTTTGGATCTGAGCCTTGGTAAGTACACATTTTTGAGCTGGATGCAGGTTATGAGACCTAAAAGATTTTTCAAGAACTCCCATCATTTTGATCATTTTTATCCATGCTAAGCTTCATTATTGTAGAACTTGATTAACATCAATTTGTCATTTTCAACCAGGATGCCATGGCACCCTGGGGTGCTGAGCAGTCTCTTTTAAGGCTGCTATATATCAATACTATTAGGTACTCAAACACCCACATGATTCAGAAGATAAACCCAACGATTTTAACTAGGAATCCATAGTGTAAAGAACATTCTGACCTGTTGTGACCTTCCTGAGTTTTTTGGGTTTTTTGCAACAGAAGAAATTATTTATTTTTCCTTATTCAAGAAAAAAGAGAAAGATAAGGGGTGGTATTTTCTGAGAAATGCCTTGAATCTAAAAAGATTGAGAACCGCTTGTTTAATTCCAGGCATAGAATTAGCATTGGAATAAGTGTGCATCTGGCTGCTGTTAAAATACAGTTCATTTGTAACATTGTTGGGGGAGGACCAGCATGAGGAACAGGAGAGGATTGATTTACACTGGCAGCAGGTCATTTCTGGGACTTGCTGTTTTTCAATTTTGACTAAGCCAATGTATATAGTCACTTAATTCTAACAACCATCTTCTGATTGGCTAGTTATAATTCTTGATCTCTTTGGGCCTTCTGGGAACCAGCATAGACCAGTTCTTTGATGTTCTTGCAACATGTCAGTTAGCCAAAATTTATGTCCTTGTGAAACTGAAGGGAGGAATTCAAATCTCCTGGAATGTTTTCTTATCAGTTTCCTGGCTTCCTTTCCTGACTTTGTGGATTTTCTGAAGCTACTCCCCTTTATAGTTATCTGAAATTTCTAACAGTTTGGTTAAGAGAACTTAGCATAAACATGAAGTTACAATATAGCAATACATAAACAATTCAAGGTTACATCATTCAGTTATTAGCAGTGTAACTAATGCTGCAGCATGCATATGCATGTTCTTGGTTGTTTACTGTTAGTAATTAAACCTTAGGCCTTCTAGGAAGCTGTTTACTAGTACAGCATTGCTCAGCCTATGGGTTGTGACCCAAATGCAAGAATATATGAAAGAGTCATGAACAAACTTTAAAAATGGATTCTCCTTTAAAGGAGAAAAATGTGGGAAACCGTGGGTTTTCCCTTGCAGGCTGGCCGAGTTCCTGCCTGCAAGGGGCTGCTTAGGGCCCCTGAGGCCCTTAAACCCTACACACCCACCCTCTTCCCATATACTGGGTGGTTGGGGCCTGGGGATGGGGACCCAGTGGGTCAGGAGCGAGGAGCACTGGGTCAGGACTGGCCATCAGTATTTACAAATGGGTCCTGATACAAAAAAGGTTGAGAACCACTGTACTAGTTTGCAAGTTGCAGATTTTTACCACTTACTTGGCTGAGTTTAACAGCTTCAGGCACTTGCAACATATCATTTCTAATACTTGCAATGTTCCTGCTGTGGTCAATTAAGATGTTTTGGGTTTCTGCTTCAACTGCACTCCCGCAGCCCTGTGAAAGTGGGAAGCAAATAATACAGAGAACTAATATAATAACTACTTCCCTTGGAGTACGGTACCTTTTCTATAGTGATGAATGACTGCTAACTTCTTTGTCAGAACTCTGTAGTATTTCAGGTGAGCTAGAGGGTAACTTCATCAGTGGCACTAGATGAAAGTATATATAAAGGTCTCTGTGGGAAAATGGAGCAAATTCTGAAAACTGAGTTGATCTATTCTAATCTTTCTATATTAATATACTCAAAAGCAATTCTCAAAATGCACATCTTCCAATAACTTGTCCTATATATAGGACAATCTCACACACTATTTTTTTTATTTTTCAATTAACCCTGAAGCTATTAAACCAGGATGCAGTTAAATTCTGGCATAACCAGTCATGTACACCCATCCTGAAAGTAGATTTCTGAAGTTGCTCCTTGGCATGACTTCTTACAAACCAAGTAGTAGTCTGCATCACACTGTATTGAACTCATGTATACCTTTGCTCTGGTTAGTTAACTGGGATAAGATGAAATCTTACATACTTTCAAGTGAAATCGGAGGAAAAATAAATAGAAACGGGCACTGAGGCTGTTGCATGCTATTCTGTAACACTGCTAGAGAATAAGTAGTTAACTAGTTAAACTGTACACAAACATATACCAAAACTTAAAAGCCTGAAGTGTTTTGCAGTGGTAAATGGTTGGTTTCTCATTTGTGTAAGTGAATTTTCAGATACAGAAATGTTCTTCCTCTGTACTTTAAGCACATTAATGTACTTAATCAACAGGATGATGTGGGCAGCAGGAGCAGTGGCAGCTATGTCAAGTATTACATTTCCAGCAGTTAGTGCTCTGGTTTCACGAAATGCAGAGTCAGATCAGCAAGGTGAGTTCAATAAATTAACGTTGTTGTCCTCCCGGAAATGTTTTTCAGTAATTTGTCTTGAAACCACAATATCAACTGAACTGTATTTTTCAGATAAGATGACAGGTACTCAATTTCCTTGACAGTAAGTTTAAAGGTTTGTCACTATGAATATTTTGTGAGGAGAGGTACATTCATTTGAATCACAATTACCTTACTTTCTAAAAAGTGTAGCTATGGTCATGCAGTCACCTGTCTACATAGTTGCCTTTCAAAGGTAATTAAAAAAAAAAAAAAGAATGGAAAAGGTTGCTAATCTTTCATGCTTTTTCCTCCTTTTTTATGAGCGTTGGTCTGTAGCTGTGGGCAATTAGCATCACAATACTAACTTACTTTCATAGCAGCTGAGTCGCTGTATTCTTAACTATCTAGTTACTTTAGCTACCCAAAGCTGACCTTAGTGAAAATGTCACCCTGGGTGAACTTGCATTTTGGTGCCCCCCCTTCCTCCTCCTCCTCCTCCTCCTCCTCCTCCTCCTCCGCTTGCCCCAGTCAGCAGCACTGCTGCAGGCAGAATCAGGAAGGCAGGGGTGCGGGGCACAGTCCAGTGGGGAGGCGGTGTGGCTTGGTGCACTAGGCAGGCACTGCTGCTACTGCTTCTGCTGCCCAGCCCGGGTCTTCCTGGGGCAGCTGGAGCCAGGGGATGGGCTCGGCTGGGTACTGCTCCTCCTGCCTGAGGTGGGGATTGACTGGGAAGAGGCAGGAGGAGAGAACTGTTGTGAGCAGTGTTTGGAGAACTGTGAAAGTGTTTTGTGCCCCCCTGACCATGGCACCCTAGGTGGTTGCCCACCCATAATGCTGGCTCTATAGATACCCAAGAAATCATTTTCCTCTTTGTATGGTGAGGTACTAGCATAATTATTTCTCCATTTTAACAATTCACATGTAGTAAAATAAATTAGTAAAATGTAGCTGTCTTCCTCAGAAGAAGCAAAATGTATGATAAAGAAAGGACTCGGGGGGGCACACGAGAAATTGTATAACGGTGGATTTAATTTCATTATAACAATAATTGGCATTTAAGGGGTTTAACTTATAAAACATGCTGGTAGGGGTACACGGGCAACCTCCTGCCCATTTCCCCCCTGGCCTGAGGCAGGATGATCCCTATTGAAACCATCTTCAACAAATCCATTGTCTAACCTCTTAGCACAGCTACGCAGTCAACTCTGACACAACACGAGACATAATACCCTGACCTACTGAAATTTATGGAACTGGAAAGACAAAACAGAAAACAGTCCTAAGAGGCAGTTTCTTGTTGAGATGCAGGGGTATGAAAGGTGCCATTGTATGTCTTATTTTTTTTTCTAAGCTAACATACATTTGGAATAGAATTGTTAATGAAAAGCAAGCTTCTTTGGGGGTGGAGGAGGTGGGAAGAGTGGATTTCCAGTTGTCTGCTTGGATAATAAAATGAATAGTTTTTTCAAACCAAAATAAAAGCATTTGAAAAAGGGCAGGGGAGGGGGTGAAGAGCAAGATAAATGTAGTGGGGAAGAGTACTCCTACAAGTTTTAAAGGGAAGACATCTATGCATTGTTCAGTTTTCAAGTAGCTCATAGTGTACAGAAAGGGATTCAGACTGTTCTGGAGTGGAAGTTTTGCCACCTAGTGGAGAGAAAACAGCAGTTGCACAAACCAAACAAGATTAAGTGTTTTTCACCCGTTAAACCCAAAAATATTATCTTATTTTCCTTTTTATGCAAGGACTCATGGTTTTCACACGTTCGTACTACCTGGTTCAATGAGTATAGTTGCCATGAGACTTGAGTGGTGCTTGCTTTGCTGACTTTTTTTTTTTCTTTAGTTTTCAAGATCTTCAAGGCAGATGTATATTTTATCATGTACTATCAGCATTTAATGAGCCACTTACTACAGTGAGAATATCTAAATGTTAATTTGTATTCATTGCTAATATTAGAAACAAACTGTTGCATATGTGGATAAACCTTTATAAATTTAGCACTTGGCATTATAATGTTCTACCTCTTACTGGGAGCAGCAGTAAGTTTTATTGAAATTAATCTGATGCCTTGATTTCTTTGCTTGCTCGCTGTTGATAATTCATAGTTCAGATGTAAGGTAAAAAAATTGCACATAAAATCTGTTTCATATGCAACACTCTGCATGTTCTTTTGAATAAGGAAATATATGCACGTCATCTTGATCTCTTTTATTCAGTATAAGTTTGGGTAGGGGGCACCTAAGTTAACTAAAGTGGAATTTGAGCACACCCATTAAAGGGGAATAGTAAGATTCTAATTTAGTCATTTCTGAATTAAAAATGTAAATAAAACTGTCTGCTGGTAGCACACTAATATATTGACAATGCTGTGTGCTCACCTAGAGAATGTGAAATCCAACTAATCCTCCTTGATGGCTTTTCTGAGTACCCTATCATGTGGATGTAAAGCTAGCATTTTATAGTCTTTCATGAAAATCCAGTAAGAGAACTCTTCAAGTTGTAATACCTTATTAAAAGTAAAAATGTTTGATAAAAAAGTTGGGTTTGTTTGTTTGTTTTTTAACCCCCTCCTCCACCCCATTACTTTATCCTTACACAGGTGTTGTCCAAGGAATAATAACTGGAATTAGGGGCCTGTGTAATGGCCTGGGGCCAGCGCTCTATGGTTTTATTTTCTTTCTCTTCCACGTGGAGCTCAGTGGATTGGTACCTGTCCAGAGTTCTGAGAAAAATACCATGGAGGATCCTAGTGATGAGGTATATTTTTTTTTTATCTTCTGTCAAAAATATAAAACTTGGATGAATAAAATCTTGATATTGAATTGCTGGAATAATTTGTTAGGAAATTTTGGGTTTGTTTTTAATTATGTTAAGTAGTCACAACAGAGACTAGATTCAAAGCAAGAATTTTGATTTAAGCTCTTGCAGTGTAGGTGTTATGCCCTAAAAGTGGGGCGGAGGGAGGCTGGGTGCATGGATGGGTGTATCTATAATGTGGAGAGAGACTCCTGCCAACAGCTGGCACTATTGTGTTTATCTCGTGTTGCTGCCTGCTGTTTTGCTTGAAAAGATTTAGTCAAGTCTCCTGGGGGGTTTTGTTTATGTTTTTTTAAAGAGAATTCCCTGACTGATCTTGCTTGGACAAATAAACTCCTGCAAAGAAACACATGTGCGCGCATGCACACACACGTGCACACTTATGACAAAAAACTCTTTTATATGCAGCTATGATTTTCAGCTGTCTGATATATTAGCAGTAAGGACTGCAAACACTGACTTAAGCTACAACCAGCTTCTTAAATATGATGTTTTGGATCTACTTATTCAAATAAGTTTTTTGTATCTAATTTTTACAGTGATTTTATACGAATAACAACTGTATACAACTGCTACTTTAGATTGATGGCATGTTAGAAAAATATCCATTGGAGACTTACCTTGGTTTTGTTCTTTTCTTCCCTTCCTTTGTAACTCATTTTGAATGAAAAAGAAATTCTCAATATTCATCTTTTTTTGATTTCTTTCCCCTTGAGATTCCTTTCACTGACTTCCCTTTGTTTGTCACATCAAGTTTTAAGGTCATATTCTTGACACTTGACCTGACTGGTTCTCAGCCTTTTTTTTAATTGCTTCATAACCATCAAAGTCCTGATTAGCATTTTTCATCTACGTGTGGACTCTTGTTGAGTGTTCTTCTACATGGACTCTTTAGCCTGCTTGCCTTTTCCTATTCAGCCATATCCTCACTTCCGTCTCTTTCCAGGCTTCCTAGATGCCCAGTATTTCTAAGAGGCCTACTTGCTGTATTTACCTGAATGCAAAACAATATAAAATTTAAAATGAGTGGGATCAGGTGACCTGATGCCTGCCCTTCCCCTGCCGTCACTTGCCCTGTGTGACAACTCTGGCTCTAGCTTTGAAACTGGGGCCGGAGCCACCATGTCTTCTGTGCCCCAGACCAAAGCTGGAGCAACAGCGGTCTCTCTCTCACCCTGTGGATTGCACTGCATGGTAAAAAAAATAAAAATAAATGTTTCACAAAGACCTAAGATAAAAGCTGCTTTGGAACATCATTTTTGTGTCTCCTTTTTTTTTTTAAAGAAATGGTTTCACACTTCCTCATATTTAGAGACTATACGTAGGATCCAGTACAGAAAAATAGTTAGGCACATGGATAACTTGGAACACGTGAGTAGTTGTTTAGACTATAAAGGGGCTATTCATGCTGTGTCATGCTTTGCTAGATTTGGACCTCCATTCTGCAGTCTTCTCTGTTTTTCATAGTTACAAGACACCTGACAAAGTTGTGTGGAAGAAGAATTAATTATTCGGATGTGTTTTCTTCCCATATTTTCCTATTTAGTTTGGGATGTGAATTTGATCTTCATTCTGCTTAGCAGTCTAACAACTTGGAAGAATTTCTCTCTCTCTTTTTTTTTTTTTTTTTTTTTTTTTTTTAAAGAGGGGGAAAAAAACAAGCCGTTTAAAAATGCTTCTAAAGCACTTAAGTCAGGGATCACAACTAAGACAAATTCAATAAAGTGCACTACATTTATACATAAAAGGTTTTCTATATCGGCAGTAGGTCACCTTTTTCAGCTGTAGACCAGAATGACCTACTTTTGTGATGGCAGGCACTAGGACCCACCCTCTGCCAGCACTTCTTCCTTTAACAGCATAGAGCGAGTAGCCACAGCAGCATGTCCAGAGGACAGATCCAATGGCCCCGTGGGCTGACAACCTCTGTTCTACATGAATATGATTCTAAACGTGTATGGAAGAAACACCAGCCACCTGCACTATCTGATTGTTTTGTGTAATAATTCTCAACACGACTCTTTCAACCTGATGTAATTGTCTCATGTTGATTAATTACCCTTTAAATAGCATTCTGATTTTAAACAAGAACACTTTTTTCTGTTAACATATTATATTTAGAATCTCTAATTAAATCATGTGTTCTTTCCTGAAAATCCTGTAAATAGTTCACAAGCAGATTAACTGAAAATCCATGCCCGCTATCCCAGTAATCTTGAATTCTGTATACAAGTATAAATAACTTTTTTAGCCACTTGACATTTTAGGTTGGTTATCACTTTCTAGTTGTAGACCTAATTGATTTTCGTACAGCTTGCATTAATATAGTTAAAACATTTTAATTAAACTGTTGCATTTTAAAACATTTTAATTAAACTCATGTCTGTAGAGTGTACGATTGCAGTAAAACTGTCCTCAAACTAAACTGTTTTAAAAATAATTTTAGTTAAACTGGTCTGACCTGTGTATACAGAAGACCTAATAGTAGCTTAATAGACCTCTAGGGTGAGAACTAATGCCATGCAGCTTTTAACCACCTCCTGATTGTGCGGGCCGGCTCCCGGTCCCGTCCTCGCCGGGCGCGAGCCGGGCC